TTTTTATTATTGTCATTAGTGATTATCTCAATTTCGGCTAAAAGAATTGACAAAATCCTACACACTATGCCTTTAAAATCGGCTCAGTTTTACATATCGGCCGATACGGATATTAATGGTGATATATTGTGCATCCCTACATTAAACTTTGGAAAATATTTTTAAGTTTTGACCAAAATAGCCACAACTCCATCATTTCAATATGATTTTTGTCATCGACACCCTTCATCTTCCTTTAACTTCAGCCTGCCACCATCTCATTTCAGCACTAACTCAACCTCCCCGTTGCACTCAACGAGCTCTCTTTTCCCGGTTGAATGTGGTATTTTAGAGACATGCCTCTGTGCCGTGTGTTCTGCCGCCACCTCACGACTCATTTCCTTGTATTTGTTTCCACACAATGACTCGGTGCCACTCGTGTTTGCCGAGATTCGCCTCTTTGTGATCCGGGGCAGCTGTTGCAACAGCTGAACAAACTCATAAATGCAGAGTGCCCGCTGACCGCTAAGGGCTCTTAGGTCAAGCAAACACACGTCCTTGAATAGTGTTTCTACCAACTCTTTCAGGAAACTGAACGACATCCACACTAACTTCATGGACGAGAAAGATAGAGCCATCATGAAAATCTACAACGAAGCCAAAGAGAGAGCTCGGTGAGCGCGGCTTCTTTATCTTACATTAAAGTGTTACCAGTTTGGCTTAAAATGCCTAATTTGTTGGAGTTTTTTTATGTGTTGCCTTTCCAGGGTCAACGGTTTTGAGAAGCAGATTGAAATCTTGCGGCAAAACCACGATGCGTTTCAGGAGAAACTCAAAACGATGCAGAGTGGCAGACACAAGTAGGAGAGTGTCCAGCTGCCAGCAGGTGACACACGTGGAGGACGTGGGATTAGTTTTACAACTATTGGGGTTTTTTCTCCCCCTGACTTTCTGTGCCTGTGTTTGTCCTGACACAGCAGATCGTGGTTGGGATGTGTGAGTGGTTTTGTCTGGTCACACTGGTGTTGTGGTCAGAACACACTGAGCTGCAGATCACCGGGCCTCTTCTCCTTTTGTACAAAGAAGCCGACGTTAGGACTGTGCTTTCAATCTGCTGCAGTTCTGCTGATGGTGGAGTTTTCTGAACAACCATCATGTTTCTGAAAGTAACTGATCAGTTAAAAGCGTCCTAAAGGATGCTTCATCTTGTTTTATGAGCCTCAGTCTGTTAAAGGAGGTGCACCTTAAATAAGGTTCTGCAGGGTCATTATTTTGTTTGTTTTAAACAGAAACTATGTATGTTATGACGTGCTAAGACACTTTAAAATATATGTAGGGGTCACCCCGAGGAGGAATAAACATTTCCACCTGTCTTTGACCCTGGTCCCTCAAAATAGACATTTTATTTTCTTTAATCAAGATAATAAAATAAAACTGTTCTTTATATTTTTGATTTATATTTCTTTTAACTTAAAGTTATCAGTTTATAAATCAAAGTTACATAATGAAAAGAATGACAATCTACCTTCTTGCATTATAATTAAGAAAAAAGACAAAACACATACAAATATTTATGATCAATTTATTGCGAAAGGAAAACATAACATTTATACATTTAATAGGAACAAGCAAAGAGAAGTGGATTATGTCTAGTTATGTGGAAAATCAAAGCCAACATTTACTAATTTGTTTTCTCTGTTTTTATGCCTTTGAATGCCTATATTTAGCACAAAAGTAAGTACGTGTTTGGTAGATTATTTCTTTGTTGTAACAACCTGATATCGGGCACCTGGGGGACCAGAAGCTCAAAACAAGAGTCAAAACCAGCAAAATAAGCTGATGTGGCAAATGTTTCACGTGCACAATCCACATCCTCAGCTTTACAGCTCGTCCCACAGATGCATGTTCCTTACAAATGTGGCACCATTTAAAAGAGAAATTAACAGGCTTTCCAACAATGTAAGCTTTATCACCAAGAAGCATTGTTACAACAAAGAAATAATCTTGCCAAACACAGATTTCTTCACTTTTTGTGCAAAGTTTTTATTCTCTGAAGTGAGGAATAATTAAAAAGCTTCAGTTTGTCTCACCAACCATCACTTCTTGTTTTTTATTTTGTGATTTAATTCTCTCTAAAAGTCAGTTCTAGTTGGCAAATCATCGTTTCACCGATACCCTCCATAGTGACAATTGTTCCTTCTGTTTGGCAGAGATAAGAGGCTTGGACAGCTTTTTAATGAGCAACTGCTCAGTAGTGTCTGTAATGTTATTTCTAAACTCTGTTTCAGAAATCCAAACTGTGTTTCCACAACGGTGGTCAGAGTCTATGAAAACAAAGATCTATCTTTTTAAACCTGAAAGGATTCACTTGATTTAAAACCTGTTTATTTCTTAGTAAGAACATGAAGCAGAGGCAGGGCTTCTGTTCTAAAAGGCTAATCACGATGCAGGAAATATGAGCTGTGGATGTTTTTCGGAGAGAAGAAATGACCGTTTCCCCCTCCAGTCGTCTTCTCGCCAGCGGCCCCCGCCCCGAGACACCAGCAGGAGATAACGCAGCGTGTCCCCCCGCATCGCTCACAGACACCCTCACCCTCATGTGGCGTGTGAGTGCCCTGTCATAACCCAAACACACCATAATGACTGAGATTATGGTGCTGGCGTGCCTAAACACACACACATCAAATAATGAAACACAAGGCTCCCAGGAGAGGAGAAGAAGCAGTTTTAATTGACTTTTATATTTAGTTTAATGAGATGCTGAGAAACTCCTACATGCTTTTCTTCTGTTATTGTTCAGAGGACAATACAGTGTTTAATAAAAGTCATTGTCTTTCTGTAGCTAACCTAAACGTACCACTCCACCTGCTTTTAATTAATGGTTGGAGAGACCGAAGCAGCTCGTCCTAAGTTAAAACTGCTGCTAATTCTTCCTCTGCAGCCTACAATCAAAGATTTTTCACAACTCCTGTTATTTTATGCACATTTAGTTGCAACATAATAGATCTAAAACTGTAAATCTAATTGGATTTCCTTTGATTCGGCATAAGCTGTAAAAAAACAGACAGTGATCTTGTTTGCATTTGCTTCTTCTGCAGTGATAAATCATTTAATGACATACAGTATTTCTCCTATATTTTTATATCCTAGACCAGTGGTTCCCAAACTTTTTGTCTTCTGACCCACAAAATATCCAAAGCAAAAACTTGTGACCCCAAATATTACTGGTCCGAGTACATGAACTTCGTTAATAACCCTAAAAACACAGATGTTTTGACAATCTAAACAGCTTGTACACAAATATAACTACTTATTTTTACTTGTTTTGTGTTTTTGTAATAATTATAGGGAAAATATTACATCAGCAATTATTTTATTACCCTTTAAATTGATTTCTGGAGATTATCCAAGGTGCTTCATGACCCATAATTGGGTCCCAAGCCCAACTTTGGGAACCAAAGTGCAGTGGTTCCCAAACTTTTCAGCTTTTGACCCACAAAATAACAGTAGCAGAGACCTGTGCCCCCAACTATTTTTGGATGATAAACATTTGTATCAGGTCAACTAAACATGGGCATAGTAACAATATTTTTATACTACATTTATCAATTTTAAATGTACTAATCTCACTCTTTTGTAACAACTAAGGCAAAAATGTAATTAATTCAGAAAATATTTTCAGGACCCCACCTTGATGTTTCGGGACCCCACTTTGGGTCCCGACCCCAACTTTGGGAAACACTGACCTAGACGTCTCTCAGACAGTTCAGTTAGAACTCAGAGCAAACTGATTGTGAACTAATTGAAGTTTTTATGTAGCAAACATCTGCAGTTTACTGTTTGTCTCTGAGTCAGCACATTTGACACCATTTGTAAATTAACAAAGGGCTGTGCTTTCTGGAAACCGTAAAAAAAAATTATAGAAAGTTCTCATAAAATGAGCGAAGCGCAGCTGCTTTCTTGTTAGGACACTTAAGGATGCCGCTGTTTAGAAATTAACATTTTGAAAAGAACAAAAGTTTATCATTTACAATTTTCCAGTGAGTCCTTTTTTTTAAATAACACATCATGCAGAGGAAATATCTAGAATTTCTTGAATCCAGCCACCTTTAATGTCAGAGTTTTAGCTTAATTTCATCAAATGTTGAGACGTGGAGCTTTGAGATAAATATCACAAGTTGTCACGGTCAGGGTAGGTGTTGTGAATGACTCTCAGCTACTACCACACCAAATTTAAGCTCAATATCTGCAAAACTGAAGGAGTTATAGACATTTTTCTAATTCTTTAGAATCAGTCGTCTGTGGAGGATACCTTGAATTAAATCTCTCCAAAATTTTATCAGTTGTAGATATACACCCATTGATTTATTCCTGAAAGTTTTATTAGGATTCATCCAGTGGCTTGTGAGATATTTTGCTAACAGACAGACTCTTAATAGTTGCAAAATTTAAACAATCAAAGATCTCTCAGGATGTGTGTTGGGGTTCATTCTCAGCTACTATCATACCAGAATTTAGCCCAACATCTGAAATTTGAGCAAAGTCATTTTTAAAAAATATTTAAAGGTTATTTGTCTGTGGTGGCCATCTTGAATTGATTCAAACTAATCAGTTGAAGGTGTTAATCCAACTGCCTGTAAGTTTACTTTAAGCCTGTCCAGTGGTTGATGAGATATTTTGCTAACAAACACACACAGAGACAATATGTTTTTTTTTTTTCCTGTGGGTAAATTTAATTTATTTACCAACATTCAGGATAAAAACCGCAACGTGTGTTGATCAAGTGCCTTCAGGGGAGCTGAAACCTGACGGGGTTTTGGGGAAGAATACACTTGCGGACTGACCTCGGACACGCTCCCCTGTTGCATGGGGCCCCCCGGGGTCCCCCCCTCCACTGAACCCTCCCTCCCCCCTGCAGTGGGACCAATAGAGACGCTGCACCTGTATCCAGTGCGCCTGTCCCGTTTGGAACAAAGTTGGCAGCGCAAAGCGTAACGCTGCGTGCGTTTCAAGGGCAAAAAAAAAAAAAAGAAATTAAAGAAAAGGGGGACACTGAGAGGAGAGCGACCACAATAACAAAGTGCCACCGTTTTCATGTGTTTGTGTGTTTGTGTGTGTGTGTTTGTGTGTGTGCGCACTGCTGCAGCTGCACCTCGATGTCAAGAGAGGAGGATTGGAGCTTTATTTATAAGGGAGGAGGTGGGGAAAGGAGAAACGGTGAGACGCGCCTGGAGAGGAAACGTCACATTTTCATTTGGAGCGACAGTGTGGTGAAAACCTGACCGAGCCCAGATAGAGAGAGGAGGGATATGCGGCACTGTCCACGCGCTAAAAAAAGAACCTCGCGGATCTTTTACCGGATGAAGCGGATGATGTGATCCGTTTTTACCTCCTTTCCTTTTGTTTGTTTGCTTAAAGACACGCAGGATTTGACGATCGCACCACGTTTCAGCGGGAGTCTATTAATCCTTGCGTCACGCCGGCTGGAACCCCTCATTTACCTCACCACCGTCAGATCAGGATTAAATAAAAACTGAACCCAAAACATAAAAACAGGCCTTGTTTTTTTTTTTAAACAAAGTTAATATAATTTTCAAAAGGAACAAAAAGAAAAAAGGGGGGCCTCTTTTTCTCTCTCCTGGTGCCAAGGTTATAGGATCTTACAGAGAAGGGTGTGTTTTTAATTTGGTGTTAAACTTGTTGGAAACTGATCCTGGGTAATGTCTCTGCTGTAAATAAGAGGCAGATGCAAAAGAGCAAAGTTAATATTCCAACAGTGATGATGCCACCCCGGGAGCGCTTCCAGGGCAGGGAGACTGGAGAATGAAAGCTGGATTTCTGCGTTTTTAAACAGGAGAAGGAAGCAAAGAGAAGACGTTTATTTTTTAAATACTTTTTTAAGTGCGCCTTTTTTGTCTGTTTTTTTTTTTTTTTACTCCCGCACAATGGGGATTATGCTTCAAGTTATTTTAGGAATGTTTCAGTTCCTGCTGCTCACCAGAATACCGACCTTCCACGCCAAGGTATGTGTGTTTGACCTCAGCAGCGCGCGTGTCTGTACATGTGTGTGTGTGCGTGCGTGTGTGATCAGTGCCACCAACATGGAGCAGAGGTGACTCGTTTCAGCCTCGTTTGGACTCTTGTTTGGAGGACTAAGGTCTGTCTTTGTCCAATCTGTGGGAGTTGTCCCTCAGGTCAATGACACCTGTCAACGCAGGTCCTGAGACAGAAAAAAAAAACAGCTTTAAAGCTGTCCTTTTATGGCATCTCTCACTATTTCTAAACAGTTATTGTGCTTTGTCTCCTTTCTCAATCTAAATATCAAACTGTCTCCTTAAAGGGGTCATAGGGGTCGTTTTTAAATATTTCCACGCACTAAAAGCTGAACCATTCATGAGGGAGCTTAATGAGTTGCCAGGTTGTGAAGAAAAGCACATCCCCCTGCAGCGCTTCAGTTTATTTATAAACGTCAACATAAGGGCAACGCAATAAACATTCATATATAAAATAACAATTAGTAAACCTTATTATCTTCTCTTCATCCTGAGCGACATGTTGGCGACAGTGGAAAGGAATGACTCCCTTTGAACAGGAAGAAACCTCGAGGCGAAAGTTTTTCACATTTAGCGTCAAACAATGCTTGAAAACGTGGTGTGCATTTTCCAAAGTCACTTTTAAGCACATTTGAATATTTAAAGCTAAATGTTAAGATGTTCAGTCTAAATGCTAAACGTTAAATATAAATGTGAACAAAAATACTGGATGCTAAATGTTAAAAGCTAAATGCTAAATATGAATGTAAATATTTAATGTTCAATCTATATGCTAAATGTTAAAGCTAAATGCTAATAATCTGAATATTAAATGTTTAATCTAAATGCTAAAAGTTACAGCTAAATGCCAAAATTAAATCTGAATATTAAATGTTCAAAAAGCTAAATGTTAAATCCAAAAATTAAGGCTAAATGCTAAATTGCATAGCTAAATGTTTAATCTAAATCCTAAATGTTCAATCTGACGTGCTTGCTTAAACTAAATGTTTAGCTAATATCTAAAGTTGCACTGCCTTTAACCAGAATTATCAAAATAAAAGCTTGACTGTGTCTCCTATGTTTCTATAAAAATGTTTTTCTTGATATTTACTTTCACAGTAATATATTGATTCCCTCAGTAAGTTAAGGCATTACATTTATTCTATCAACAGTCAAGCTTTTATTTTGGTATTTCAGGAATTTGCACATTAGCTAAACATTTAATTTCAGTGAAAGATTTAGATTTAACATTTAGCTTGAAGAAAAAAAAAGTTGCTCTGTAACATCTGTGACATCTTTGTGCTTCTAATGAGAGTCAGATGAAAACATCCCACTCTTGTTTTTAGTGGGAACACGGTGAACAGCCAACTTTCTGATTAACCTATTAACAATTTTAAACTGAAAGAACGAACTGTAAAAATTATTACAATCAATAAACGTATTGCATCAATGAAAATATGAAGGGAAAATTTGAGTCTGGCAATGCAAAGACTAAAAGCTTGCAGGAAACGTCCACTTGGTAATTGGTGTCTTATCACTTATTACTAGCTTAATTAATGATTAAATGAGAAGACAGTTGCATCGTTGCAGAGTCCAGTTAAAGGTAGTTTTATTGTCCTAATCAGTCAGAACTGACGTCTCAGCTGTTAGAGGGTCACATCCACTCACCGTGGGCATTAGTGTCACATTCATTTGTGGGGTTTTAGGGTTTGTTTGTTTTTTGGATCAATCTTTTGTCAAGGATATTTTAACTATGCAACACAACTTTTTAACTTTTGACAGCAAGAAATGAGTACAAAAATCAGAATTTATTGTGGATCTTCTAATCAACACGAAGTCAAAAACAACACACAAAAACTCAAAAATATGCAAACACTGCGCTAGTATTTTGTTTAAAGTGCCTGTAACATCAAATTTTTGTAACAAACATAAATGTATTTTTTAAAGATAGTAAATATAACAAAATACATAAAAAGTTTCAGACTGTTGAGATGAACAGTTGAGATATTTGCATGTGAAGTAACAGGAAGTGATGTCAAAGGGGAACAGAGCATTGCTACAACGGCTAACACAGACTGTAGAGAAGAACCTGATGTTAAGATTATTTTTGAGCCACTATCAGAGAAGAAGAAGAGTCAGAGTTCAAATAATATTGTTTTAATAAACAAAGATCGGAGAGTTCCTCTTTGATGTCACTTCCTGTTTCACTTTGGCTGAGCCAAGTTCAGAAGAAAATATGCCAATTATGTGACATAATGGGTAAAATCACATGCATTGTGCCAAGTTTCTAATATATAAATATGTTTTCTTTGGTCTTTTGTATTGGAAGGATATGCATGTCACAGTAATTTAATGTCTTTTAGTAAAATGCACCTTAACGGCAGGTTTTTGTAGCCATCAAAAAGCTACTGTCTGGATATTTTCTATATTTGGCAAACTGTACTGTTCGTTTAAACTGGCTTGTTTCCTGGCACAAATCTGGCTTTTAAACATTCCACAAATTTTTTATTTGGGCTGAGTTTGGAGTTTTTGGAAGGTCTTTCCAGAAGCTTGACATTAGGCAATCAGAAAACAGTTTTGTTATGGGTTTGGGATGACTGGAAAACCCAAATGTGTCAGAGTTTTAACTGGAACTATTGATCTGATGTGACGTTGAAGAACTGCACCTGTACCAGGGTTAAGGGCCCAGAGTGGAGCAAACAACTACCTCACTAATATATATTGTATATTCATCCATCCATCCATCCATTTTCTTCCGCCTATCCGGGGTCGGGTCGCGGGGGCAGCAGCTTCAGAAGGGAGGCCCAGACCTCCCTCTCCCCAGCCACTTCTTCCAGCTCCTCCGGGGGAACCCCAAGGCGTTCCCAGACCAGCCGAGAGACATAGTCCCTCCAGCGTGTCCTGGGTCTTCCTCGGGGCCTCCTCCCGGTGGGACGTGCCCGGAATACCTCACCAGGGAGGCGTCCAGGAGGCATCCTTACCAGATGCCCGAGCCACCTCAACTGGCTCCTCTCGACGTGGAGGAGCAGCGGCTCTACTCTGAGTCCCTCCCGGATGACCGAGCTTCTYACCCTATCTCTAAGGGAGAGCCCAGCAACCCTGCGGAGGAAACCCATTTCGGCCGCTTGTATCCGGGACCTCGTTCTTTCGGTCATGACCCAAAGTTCATGACCATAGATGAGGGTAGGAACGTAGATCGACCGGTAAATCGAGAGCTTCGTTATAAGAGAGAGTTATATTGTATATTATATTATAGTAGTATAGCTCAATCTAACTTCAAAACTTTCCACACCAACAGCTGGCTTGTTCAGCAAGCTAGAAGGTGTCTCTTCTGGAGCAGGAACTCTTTTCTTGGTCTTTGCCCTCTCAGTCAACGATGACTCACTGTGGACAGAGACTCTGCCTTACAGTTTCCAGTTAGTTCAAGCCTTTGTTCCTGAGTTGTTCTTGACCATCCTAACCCATTTCCTTTCATCTGAGGTTGACTGATGATTATTATCTATTCAATAAGTGCAGTCAAATAAAGCCTTTTTTATGCTGGCAAAGAACAACTATCAGCCACAGTCAATCATGATCACTAATGAGACTTTAACCTCGTCAAGTTAAGACTTTATAAAACCTTCAGGATCAGTTATTAACAAACATAGGTGGATATATTTTACTATATACTCGTGGTTTTTAAAACCATTCTAAACATGGAGGGAGGGCCTCAAATAAATCATTAAAATCACTCATATTCATTTTAATGATGACTTCATGAAAACTCCTAATTTAATCTGCGTTTGTTTCAGCAAACACCAATTATTTAACACGTTTTATCAGCTACGTGTTATCTGTGTGATTTGCTCAGAGGATTATCATTAATAAGGAATGATTATTGATTTTTTTCTGACATGATCCACGTTGGGATTTTATCTTTCTGCAGTGAAACACAGAGAAGAGCTGCGAGTTCTGCTTTCTTTTATTTATGTCTGGAGGCTGGTATCAGGAACAGGCAGTGCTCTGAGACAGCCCTGAGTCTGTGCTGCTGCAATACTGTATCTTTTACTCATTCATCATCCTAGACACCACATAACACACACACACACACACAGACGCACACACACACGCAGACGCACACGCAGCTTCTTCACCTTCACACCCGAGACTCGAGCTTTCATGCTGTCTGCTGCTTTGGCAGCTTATTAGAAAAAAAGGGGTCACCCTGTCTCTCTTGTGGTGATGAGACTCGGCGGGAGAGCAGGCGAGGAGGTCTTTTAAACACACACACACACTCTCTCTCTCTCACACACACACGCACACACAGAGACACACACACATATGGCCCATCTGTGTGCTCAGGGAGTGGCTGGGAGTTAGGTGGGTTAGACTGTTGACAGATAGCGCTGCCAGTGCAGATGGCTCTGGGCTGGCACTTTGGAGCGTGTGTGTGTGTGTGTGTGTGTGTGTGTGTGTGTGTGTGTG